TTACTTTAAAAAAGTAATCAGATTACAGTAACACGTTGCCCATTTCTGTTCATGACACAAATGATGTCAGTAGGTCTTAAAACATCACGTCTACAGACTATGAAAAATGGACATAGCAACGTGACGTGACACACTGGGTCTATTTCCACTGTAAAGTACATTTTAACATTTTAAGCCTGTCGGGATCGACTCGTTTTTGAAAGCAGACTCAAGTGGACATTAGAGGGACGGCGGTTCTTCTTTATTTTTTTAGCCCCGGGAGGTGCTGTTTGCTCCAGCCCCGCATTTTAAATATGACATCATCTCCTTCTGAGGAAGACTGAAAATAAGCCCCGATGGCTGAATGCGATTCCCTAAAGCCGAACAGAGAAGAGCTGCAGCAGACCATCTGTCACAGGTATCAAATGAGAGCATGCGTTGATGGATGGCAGAGTGAAGCTGAGAATATGAAGCAAAGAAAAAAAGACAGAGCAGAGGGAGGGAGGAGATTTGATGAAGGGAGGTGTCTCACACTTTGACATTCGCTCGCTGTCTCGCTTCAATTCTTTTCTCCATATTCTATTGCTGATGTTTTTCAGGTAATAACCGCTGGGAAGGTGGCCATTTCTGGCCCAGCGAGCAGGTCGTAAACATGCATCCGTGTGTCTAAAGCCCCAGAGGCGTCTCGCCTCATAATGCTCTTGTTTGGGTTTGCAGGCCCGCCGATGTGCTGCTATTATCTCTCAGGAAGAAAGTGTTCACGTGTAGAAGCCGACAGCCCTCGGAGAGCACTCATACCTCCCCCGAGGATGCACCCCCCTCTAGATTTGTATAAAAATGTGGATGTGGCTCTGTGTCATAATCCATACACGATATGAGCTTTTATTGATCAGATTAGGAAACAAGTCCTTACTGGGAGGTCCTAGTTAAAATCCTAGAAATCTGTTGACCAATTAAAATGCTGCACAGGACCAGAAAAGCATCAATAACTTTAACAGATGGTGTATTTTTGTTCCCTATGACCACCAATTATTTTGCTTTTTGTACTGAATTCATTTACTCTTTCTGATCTGTTCGTGTAGGAGCTGCCTACATGGATGAACGTCACTGTCAAACTAATTTTATTCCAATGTCTTATATATTTCCTTTCATATGATATGGATATGCATGGATATATTTATGATTTGAATTGTGACATATGCTGCCCTGTCAGCGACACCGGACACATTTGCTGGGAGCAGAGGCAGAGGACATCATCCTCTTTTCTTTCCTTGCCTCCTGACTTCATCAAACGTGACCTCTAGCTTGCGCTGGGGCGATTTGGAGCAGCCAAGTGTGAAGCACATGGAAAGAGAATTAGCCCCTCGGAGTCTGAGCCGTGATTCTCCACTGGAAAGGGCTGGATTGCCCTCTCCTGCCTGGAGTATCTGTGGTTTACAAGTGAGAAGTGAGTGGAGCGGGACACTGACAGATGTATTTGCACGGCTTCTGCAGTGGTGTGGATGCTGTATCAGTCTGCTGTGGTAATGAGAGGAAGTTGTGAAACACAAACAGCCATGTTCCTGCCCTCTTCTATGGCCGCAAGCTGCGCGTGCCAAAAGAGTGGGATCGTGGCAGGAATGAGCTTCCTCCAAAGGCTGTCTGGGCTCTGCCTTAGAGACAGGGTGAGCAGCTCAGAGTAGAGCTACTACACCTTCATCAAAAGGAGCCGGAGGAGGTGGGTTTGAGCATACTAGGTGAAGTATACGGTGTCGATTTAATTAGTCCCCCACCAAGGCAGCAGAGCAAACCTTTACTGACCCTTTGTATAGTTTTATACAGGAGAAAAATAAATATCGAGTTTCTGTCTGCTGAATCTAAACACACGATCTCTGAGTAAAACGATCGGTAGATTGGATGAGTCATGTTTAAGCTGTTGATCAGTTGGATTGATAAGGGCTTTTATTAAAGTGACAGGGCAGTAAAATCTGGTTTCAGGTGGTTTTTGTTGATTTCAGAATTCTACTTTTTATTCTTATAATGTGTTTATTTTCATTTCAGTTAACTCCAATAACCTCGGCTGTTGTCATCAGTGACACGACAGAAGCTCACAGTGAAAGCAAAGTGTCTACTGTGACTTTAAAAACCTGCCATTTGAGTTCCCTTCATCGTTTTGCGTGCGCATGCTGCCGTCTGTAGGTATTCTTGCAGGACCGTTCGCTCGATTTCCTGACAAACTATAAAAGAAACCACGTAAACTGCAGCCGACTGATTAGAAACAACTTCTTTCCGCCTGCTAAGATAAACAGTATGAGTCACGATGAAGGTGGTGTATCCTGCACCAATCGTCCTCAGGAGGATTGATGGAAACGGGAAAATAATCCCACCTTCTATTTTTATGGAAATTAGGATGAATGTGAGATATTTAGCTCATTATAAGTAGAATTAACGAGAATTAAAGTGCCAAGACCACCACTGCTGTGGTTATAATTACTCACGTCACAAAGGGAAGTATTCGTCTGCTCATTGTTTCTTTTTAGTTTGTTCACGTCAGAGCAGAAAGTGTGAACGTACCTGTCGGCCCGCAGCGGGGGAGCCCTGTGACATGCTGCTGGGGCTGTTGGAGAACTTGTTTTTCTGGAGGTCCATGATGGCGTCTCGCTGACGCTCTATGTCAGCCTTGTGGATGCTGTTCAGGGCCTCCAGGCTCTTGGCGGCCACGGAGTTGTGCCGGCGGTCCAGCGAGGACGACGTGAAGCCCCCGTTGCTGTTGTCGGGGAACCGTCGGGCCCCGCGGCCACCAGTGGCGGCCAGGGTGTGGTAATCCCGGGGGAACTCGGCATCGCCGGCAGAGATCATGGGACCCTTTCTCTTCTCTCGACCTGCAGCCGGAAGATGGAAGGGAGGGGAATTTAAAGAGTGAATGGTGAGACGGTGAAAAATGTCTTTGGTAACAAGATCGTGTCTTACGATGAAATCTGAAAACAGTGGCGTGATTTTCAGGCTCATGTGCAGCCATGTGCACCAGTACACACGATACCACAGGAAAAGCAGCTGCACGGGAGAGAAACTCACTTGACATTGGAGTCAATCCATCTCAGTTCATCAAAATTTTTAAAAATTTCCCACCTGACCATCACAGATTTACCTAAAAAAATCATTAGTTCTTAATGATAATTAAAGCTAATGGGATTTTAGCATTTTGGGGGGAATGACAACAGGAGGCCATCTTTCCCAGCCAAGTCTGTGACGGTCAGGTGGGAGCCATCGGATGAACTGGCACGGATTCATCCCTTTACACCTGAACAGATATTTGAACTCTGAGGTTAATAGCTGCTTAAAAACAATGCAAAAGATTTAGCAACGAAATAGCAGTCAATATGCATTATGTCCGCTGTGTCATGCGTTGCAGTCAACCACCTGTATGTTATCATTCATAAGGTTATTCTTGTCTCGCTTACTGAAATGCATTCATCAAAAAAGTGTGGGAAGTTATTGTTTTGGGTCTTAAGATTCTTTCCATCTGTCCCAAACAGCAGATCAGTAAGAACTCCACAAATTTAAGGCCATTTCTGTGTTTTCTTGGAAAGCACACTCTTATGAAGGAGATTTTTAATTTTAATGTAATAAAAATTAAATCTAATAAATGTAATTTGTTATTCCACCATTCGAGCTTTCATTCCATGAGCATTATAAGACTCCAGTAGCATGTTGCTCACTTGCTTGTCCAACAACACTTAAAACTATTGAAAACATTTATAAAAGAAGTTTAAAACTACTTGACAAAAAACCGACTTCCCACCACCAC